CTTCCGATTCATCATCACTATTCACAATGTCGTTAAATTTCTCAATTTCTGCCAAAGACTGCCCATAATGAGTCAGCTCCTCCTCCTCGTTCAGGTTATACACATCCTTCTTATCATGGACACGCTGAGAGATGATGCAAAGTTAATACTTGCACTGTTAGTTATAGAGCAAGAAAAAACATTCTGAGAAACTGGCTCTTACTTCTTCATTTTTTACAACTGGTCACTTTCTTAGCCCATATAAATAAGAAAAAGGGTTTAGGCTCCCTGGTGTTTGCTCATTTTATTTTGGATATAATATACATCTAAATGACAGTACAAGCTGCAGCATGATGAAATATAAACTACTAAAACCAGTAACAAAAAGAGAACAAGCAGTGCCATAGATAGTGGTATTACTATTCGTCACTGACCTGTCTCTCCATCGCAAACCTCTGTAGGATTTTGTCATCTGGTGCCATCTTGGTGTCATACTCTCCAAAGCGTCTGTCAATGAACTTGTTGGACTTGTTCTTCTGTTTGTATTCCTTCAGGAGAGTCTCTTTTCTCTACACATGAATATGAACAACCTTGCATATGACTTTTGTGCATACAAAGCTCTCCATCGTGCCACACAAACATCGACTGAGTTACAAATATGTTGCTTTTATTTGGAAAAGGTGTCGGTGTTGCTTCATTGATCAAACAAAAACTCAAATGTATAAATATCTACACACCAAGTCAGAAAAAAGAAGTAAAATTTAGTCAAGTTCGCAGATTCTACTTCTGTCCTCACTTTAATTGTATTTAGTTTTGTTCATGGCTCTTGATCTTGGTCCCTCCAGTAAAATATCTCTCTCCCAGCATGACGGTGTGAGCACCAGGCTTCACAGCACAGACAGTGTTAAATGGGTGGTGAGCTGTGACCCGTGGCTGCCAGATACAGCACTACAACAAAAGTGTTTTTATTTTTCATCAGCCTGCAGAATATTTTGCGTTTAAGTCTGCTTTCCATTTTGCTTTATCCTGTCATATTGCCCAGATTTGTCTCAAACTGGCTCTTTCCTATGGCTTTTGTTTGCAGCTGCAGCTGTCTGGGTGTTTGGCCAGATGGGTCAGACAACCAGGGCCCATAATCACACACTGGTTTCTTTAACTGGCTCAGTTAGAAGAAACTCGTAAAAATAAGGAACATGTCTGTTTTAGGTTTAGGACTCTTAGGTTTCTCATCTAGAAGTAAATCATTTGCCTTAGAGATGAACATATAGTAAAAAGGTGCAAAAAAAATGAGGGTTTAAATTTAATTGCTAGAGGAACCCTTTATTTATATAAAGAGCTTTAAACAGAGAAAAACTAAATATCAATTTAAGGATTTTGGAAAGAACAGCTAGCAGAGTGTGGAGTGTGGTGAGGTGGAGAGCAATCACACAATCTTACCTTATTTATGGCTTTGGACCGAGACACGCCTGGCAGACCTACATCATGCTTGGTTTTTCTCCCCAGAATGTCAAACTTCTTCCTGTTGATTTTCACTTCAAATGGGTTGTTTTTGATCTCACTAGAGGTCTTGGTCTTCCTGACCTTGTCAGCAAGGCTCCTCTTCTTAGGTGCCTTCCCCATCTGTAACAGAGTGGTGGACTGAAGAGCTAACACCGCTGACATTCCAATGTCATTGGACAATAATGGCACAAGACAATGGCTCCATTGGACTTTTCTCTACCCATTACATCTGTTACACTTCAGATTCAAATGGTGATACTGTTACCATGTACACATCCTGCAAGTTATTCATATATTATACATATATTTTATGTACATTTGAATCTGTCTAACATCAGACAATCCTGCACTTTCACTGTGCATCTTTTTGAGAACACCCCCCTGATTTGCACTAATATACACTGTATTATATTCAGCAGCACTATAGTCTAGTTAGAGATCTGTCATCCTGGACTTACTTGGATTCCATATATATATCTATAGTTAATATATATCATTTTGCCTTTTGTATAGTTTTTAACATTTATGTTAAGTGGCTGCTGTAACTGTTATTGTCACCTTTGGGATTAATAAAGCAGTCTATCGATCACACAGTCATCAGATCAACGCTATCTCCATCTGAGAGACTGAATGGATCAGACCATCTTCAAACAGTTACTAAATGCTGAATAATATTACTTTGCAGTTTACGTATCTCTTTTCCGTTCAGTATTAGGGCACTGAGTGTTTGCTGCTATGTTGCAAACACCGGACATCATCACACACCGGCAGTGTTTACCTTTTTACTCGCGTTGAAGCGTCAAGTTACTGAGTTCAGCCCGAGGAAAACATAGGATACCAACTCTCTGGCAAACCTAAACTTACTAAAGTACACTTTAATCTTTAACTGTCCACGTTGCTTCACTGAATGTCCATTTTCAACGTGCACAGCTTGAGGTCAAAGTTCAAACCGGAGAAGACGACAAGAACGACTTCCGGTGTGAAAATCCCAACAGCGCCTCTAGCGTTGGAGGTTCACCCTTCAAAATAAGGGCACGGATTACTGATGTGTACTCTACAACAGTTGCCAGCACAAATGCATCAGAAGTAATTTCCATGTCTTATCCCGTCAGTAACATCAAAATAACCATAATTTTGATTATAGCATGTCCAAAAACTTCATATATTGTTCAGAAGACAGTGCATTCTGTAGCTTTATGGCAATGTGAGTCTGTTGGTCGACCACTTTGGTCCAGACTGAAATATCTAGACAACAATTAGATAAACTGTCATGACATACTGTATGGACATTCATGTTCCCCAAAGGATAAATCTTCTTTCACTTCAAAATAATTTTAATATCAACTGTTATGAGTGCACACTGAAAAAGGATATGGCTAAAACATGCACAAAGTGAGCCTTTGTTTACAGTATTTCTGCTTTATTTGCACTTATACTACATAAATGACTACAATCACACAGTACTGATTTTCAAAGATAGTGTTTTTTATTCATGGTTGTTCAAGAGGCAGAACCATGAGAAAAGAGAGGTGAAGCATTAAGTCTATAGATGATATAATGAAGAGACATTTAAATTGGAAGTAAATCAGCATAGCTGTGAGATTTATAACAAAAATCTATGGTTATCTCAAATGAAAACAATTACAAGGACTTTAGTATTATTAGCACACTAAAGCAAAAATAAAATATTAATCAGGTATAAAGGGGTAGTTTTAGTCATTTTAAGGACAGTACGCACATGCAGTCCTTCAGCTTATATGTAGCGCTGCAGTAAACCACCTACAGTGATCAAAGTCCAAGGTTTAGTTCGCATTTCAGATTAGGTGAAGCTTCCTGTTAGTGCTGCCTTTTGGTTCGCCATAGCTAAGACAGACCGATGACTAACCCTCACTAAAACAGGATGAATTAACACAAATTAGGAAGCAATGTATGGAGTCTTGGTCTTAAAGTCCTGAAACCTCAGGCACAGCTCATCTGCAGTCACACCACTGATTACATATCAGTGACAAAACAAAAATAAAGTTTCTTCTCCAGTGTACACCCTGTCCTTCTTTACTGCAAGTGGAAACAGGTATTCAGTGAATCTGTTTACTCAGACTTTTACACAGGCAAATCCAAGTTGAGAGTTCTGAAATACAGCTAATCATGCAGCATCGTAAGAGTGCCATTGTCATGTACATGTTCCGCAACAACTGTATCTACTTGTATGACAAACTGTGACTATCTATAAGCAACGTGTGCTAGGAGTTCACAGACAGTGATTTTTGAAAGAGGAGGTTCACAGTGCTCTCTTACAGCAAGTCATCGTGGCTCAGTCTACTTTGTGAGGAAAAGCCCAAGAGGTTTAAAAAGATAACCAAGAAAAGAGAATTTTTATAATCTCACGCGATACGCAGGATTCCTGCCCATTTCTTCAAGCTCAAATAATTACAATAAATGAAAAATTAGCTGAAAATTCATCTTTACACATTCCTTCATCCTAAAGACTTACAGCCAGTAGCAAATTCATCATCAATCCCGGGAAGAATCAACAAGTACAGTGCTTACTGACGCTTCCATGAATGATTCAGTTTGTTGTGAACCATGCTCAACATCACCAGCTTCTAACATCATCTGCAGCTTTGCAGCACTGCAGATGGATATTTTAATGAAACTGGTTTGTGAAATATTAAACCAAAGACCTAAAGCACTACACGGCATACGTGTAAGACAAGGCCATGTCAAATGATTGTGGGTCAAACTATTTGAGTTTAAAGTCAACACCCACATGTGATTGAGTTTGAATGGAGATGATTTAATCAGAGAGTGGATTATGGACACATTAATATGGATTCTGTATGACTGTGCTCTCAAAAGATAAATGCTCGACTGAAAATATCCCAACTGTCGTTCTCCTGGGCTGTTAACATGTTATTGCATGGGTGAACAGTGCCAGAGGTAAAATTAGCACTATGCACCTTGTGGGTCTGTCAGAATTTACCACCAGTTAAATGAGAGGGTACAAGCTTCTGTTTCTGCATTCTGTGTTTTTAAAAGACACTCTGACATATTTTGATACAATCTCAGTACATTCTAGTGGTTACAACAGTTTAGTAATACTCGTAAAAAATGAGGGCAATAAAACCATAAAACCTCACATCAGGTGTGGGCCTGTAGTAATAGACATGCATAAAAGGCCAGATGCAGTGGCCAGGAACGAATGCACCACTCACTCAACTAAAAGTGTCTAGTAATTAAAAACCTTTCAAATCAATTATTTTTACACTGTATACAAAATTGGCACACACTAACAAGGAAAAATACGCAGGTTAATAAGCCAGCGACAAATGATATTAAAACAACAAAAAGCATAACTGTGTAACTGTGGTTTGCTCGACGGTGCAATGATAGCAGAGAAATAAGCAAAAAGGAAAAAGGCAGAGGCCAGCCGACATTCTCCAACCTAGGACTCTGTCTTTTTTTTGTTTTTCTTTAAGAACGAAGGAGTGCGGAACTTCTTTTTCTTTTTGGAGGGTGATTTACTGGGAGACTCGTCACCCTCTTGCTCGCCAGCGTCAGCGGGTTCCTCCACCTCAGCTGCATCTGCAGTAGCAGATCTGGAAGGGTCTGTCTCAGGGTGGCTGCGTCACTCTCATCCTTATGGGTTTGTTCTGGGGGGAGGGTGAAGAAAGTTACTGATTTCATAGGACAGTCTTGATAGATCTGCGCAGCTGAGCTTACACACCACAGAGTCTACTACAAACTGACAAATAAACTGCAGGATCCACAGGGTTTTCTACTTAAAAACAGGCATCCACTTATCACAGAACTTGGCTTCGTTACTCTAAATCAGTGATGAGACTGACATTTTAAAATCAGTTCTATACAAAAAAATATAACTGTGCTCCTCAGTTGAAGAAACTCTTAAATCAGAGAAGTCTAACGTTCCCACTAAAAGCCAAAACAGCACATCAATCACCAAACAGCCCACTAGAATAAAACACCTGACACCTAAACTTTCCCCTTTCCTAAGATCAACAACCAAAAACCAAGACCCGCTGTTTCTTATCTAAAATACTTTAACTGCAAAGTTTCCCTTAATGACTATCTTTCTTCTTACCTTAGTGACCGACAATAAATAACAAAAAGACATTAAGGATTTATTTCATTCTCCCTGTTCTGGCAGGCTGAAGCTGCACACAGCATCTTTTTTTTTACCTTTATTTAAACAGGTAAATCTTAACGAGTGCAGTTCCCTTGTTCATTTGCAGCCTGTGTACAAACAAACAAAAATAAAAGACTACAACACAAGAAAATACAGCAATGTTTTCTGAGATTTCAGCAAGACAGCCACAAACACTGGGTTACAGAACAATGAACAGTAGTCCAAAACTGGTGCAGATCTCAAGGAGCAAAATGTTACAATTAGGCCTTGAATTATCAACAGAAGCCAAAGTCTTAGCCAGTTAGAATAGGATTAAGTCTGACTGCAGTTTAATTCAGTTTCTGGAAGTAAGTGGCAGTATTCCCTCAGGTCTTAATACTGAATGCTAGAAGAGTGTCTGCATTTCTAGTTTGGAAAGATCTAAGTTTAGAAATCACATTAAAAAAGGTAAACTCCTCCTGTTTATGCTAATGTGTGTGTATCTGTATTCATTTTTTAATTGTTTTGGAATAAACTACCAGATAAACATCTGGACACACTTTCCCATTCAGTTCATGAGAAAGTGTGTCCAAACCTTTTGGATTTGTATAGTCCTATAGAAGGCTAGCTCTAAACTAAAGTTAGCAGCTAAAGCTACTAAAATCTGCTAGTGACAGTTATTTAAACAGGCAACGGCTGCTTTTCTCTACTTCTGTGTAAACTCATGTCCCCATTGAAATTGAGCACTGACTGTGTGTGGTGAAATCCACTTTTGTTAGACTGAGAAACCTAACTGACAATATTATGTTTTTGCATTTGTATATTAAAAGTACAGTCAGATTGCAGAAACAAGCTACTTGGTTTTCTGTTTTGCTTTTGAAAAGGTGTCAGTGTTGATTTAGTTAGGCTTTTATTACTGACTGGTAGTAATTTAGGCGACCTTTTAATCATACTCCCAGCAAAAAGAGTTAGGAAGCAACAGATCCAGAAGGTCTACCTCAGTAGTCCAAACAGGATTCACACCACTGCTGCAAGCTCACACTGTGCAGTCAGGTGCAGAACAACTGCAGCTGTTCATTTTTAACATTGCTGACATGCTACAGAAATCAGTGTTTTAACCCCACTGTGAAGACCTGAGAAAACAGTACACATTAGTCTTCATATTAGAACTCTAACGTCTGTCAGAACAGAAATGAGGCCAAACAACAGAGACAGACAACCTGTAGGCTGAACACCACACAGCCAAGCTTTAGCCATCAACTGTCTTTGAAGCTAAAACCACCAGCAAGTCTCAGCGAAGGCAACAGCAGCAAGTTTGCTTCAAAAGCCACACTTAAATAAGACACACACTGATGTACCTGGTAAAGAACTCGTCTGTAAGACAAACAACATTCAACACATTTTCAAAACATTACCTGATTTTTTTCCATGACACTAAAATATACAGTCAAATAACACTGATAGAATGTGCATATGTGCAAGAACATCTGGTTAGTTTGATAGTGAATCGTAGACAGGAAAAAAGGGAAGTTATCAAACATAAACAGTTTGGTTGGTTGTGAGGTTTACTTCAGAAACGTTCCACTTTCTAGGTCATTGCCATTCAGCAAAATGGGACTTGAACCCATGATATTACAGATTCACACCTGAAGCAAGGTTGCAGGGGAAATGTATCCGGATAACTATTTCTTCTATTTTCTTACCATGGTCATTTAGCTGAAACTGAAAACAGTAAATCAAGCCAAATAACAAGAAAATGGAAGCGCTCTGAAATAACCGCCACAACACAGAGAGAGAGAGAGTCAAAAGAGTTCAGAGAAGTTAAGATCAGAACAGTCACGAACCCCGGCAAATAGGTTAGTTCGGTCAACAGAACAGCTCTACCACTGAAGCCATGCAGAGAAAAAGGGTAAATGACTGAACACAGGCGTGGAGGGTGACTAGTAATCAGGAAGGTGGTGAGGAGGTGGAACAGTACGTACTTACTATGGCAACAGGTACTCTTTTGTATTTCCATCTCCTGATTGTAATCGCAGGCACAAAGAAGAAAAAGCACAAGTAGAAACAAATGTCTATGCAGATCAAACCAAAGGCACTGGGTTAAATAAAAAAAAAAGAAAATAAAAATGTGAAAGAAGAGAAACAACACCAGAAGAAAGGTTTCTAAAAAGAATGGTCAGGAACCATTCTTGGTCGACTCCAAAAAGATGGAGAATGGAAGTGAAAGGGTAAAAGAGATACTGTACATAGAGAGACATGTTATATAACATCATTTCAGGTATTAGATTACACCTGCAATCAAAGATATTCATCCCCTTCCTCCTTTGTGTAGCTCATAAGTGTATTGATGGAATGATGCCAATTATTGTTTAAGTCATTGTAACTAAACATTTTACTTCCTGTCCTCTTAGGGGCAGTTATAGTATCATCATGGATGATACTGCTGCTGACTTAGGTGTAATCCAATAGTAATAAAGACCAAGAGGGAAAAAATAAAAAGAACTAAATGCTAAAAATTCAGACTGTAGTTCTGGTAGATTGTCTGCTCCTGTAATTTCACATCTCACACAGGGTACAGCTAATTAAATACTCAAAACCTCTTGGCCTGTTATTACAGAGAACACAGCACTGGTAGTAGTATTATTAAAACACCACAGCACCAACAACAGACAGGCAGGTGGATGGTCAGGTGCCTTTGCATTCCCCCTGTAGACCCTAGAAAGGCCCAAACCAGAGGACAAGAGAACCCCGTGCTGAACCAGGCAGGGCCATGCTGGGCCAGGTAAGTCAAGTATATCAGGTCAACCTACCTTCCTCTGCTCTGACTGGGGTGCTGGGTGGCGTCGTGGTGAGTTTCTGCCCTTTGAGCTCCTCCTCAGGCTCTACTAGCTGCTCCAGGTCTGAGAACAGTAACAGTGACATACTATTTTACCCCCAAATAAATCATCAGATGAAAAGAACATTTTATTGCTTTTGTTACTTAAATTTTGACTGAACCCCACATTTTGTCTCACACATCTGAAGGTGCCAACAGCAAAAACACTGCAACACACAGAAAAGGGAAGACAGTACACAGAGCCCAACCAGGGAGGAAGCGTCAATCACAAGAACACCGCAAACCCCGGTACCAACACTGAAATATATCCCAATTAGCCAAACAAACCAAAGCTACCATTAGCATTAATGAAAATCAGTCGGTCACAGGAGGGAGAGTGGACACCAGCAGAGACACTTCCAGGACAGGTTAGCAGGAAGACAAGGAGCACCCCATTATTCGTGTCCACACACAGGAAGCTCTGATTGGATGAATGAGCTCAGACATAGCTTTTTGAAAAGTTAGCTCAGCACACCACTGAAAACCGCTTTTAGACTTGAGGAGTGAGCGCCCTGAAAAGAGGGGATGTGTTTTTCAAAATGAGTCCCCCTTCACATCCTCTCTCCTCAGCTCCTCATCCAATCAAACCACAGAAAGGTATCCGATCTGGCAGAGCTCTGATGCCTTGGAACAAGACATCAGAGAAAGGGGAATAAGGGAAATAATCAAGCACAAGGCTTCATAAATTGAACTGTAGGTAGGGAAGGTATGTGAATACAGTGTGTAAAAAAAAAAACTCCAATCCCCCAGAATAAGGAGAGGAGACAGCAGGCGGGGATTCGCAGACTCCCTGTGTGCTGCATGTACTGAGGCTGACCAGGGCAGGGCAGGGCAGGGGAGGAAGGAAGGAAGCAGAAGGCCGGAGTTTAGCCACGACTTCGCTTCATCTGCTGTACCTGGAGCCTGATCTGCCTTAGTCATCTCTACCACTGACGGCTCCTTGCCGAGGGCTCGCAGCACGGCGCAGTGGAACTCCTTATGTGGGGAATCTGGAGCTGAAAAAACTTCATCTGGAGTGGAAAAAACTTCATCTGAAACATACGCTCCACCCTGAGCTGTCCCAGACCTACTGGAGCGGCTGGGGGGAGAAGAAACTGCCCAGAGGCTGGTGTAGCAGGTGTGGCAGCTGGAGCTGGGGCATGCTCTAAGCTGGATGAATCAGGTGTGGAGTCAGAGGACTGACAGGGCGCACTGGAGGCTGTTCCCTCCCTACTGGTGTCTTGTCCCTGCACTGTGAATCCATGTGTATGTGTGGAGAAAACATATCACTTTTTAACAATTTGAAACTCATTAGGGTTTTTTAAAATCTTTTTACACTTAATAAAAGCAAAGGCAGGAGATGTGATTTACACAGCAGAATTCTGGATTTATCCTGCACTGCAATTTTACTCAGAGAAGGATAAAAAGTTAACACATACAACTGTCGTCTGCACCGATATTAATGCTTCCAAAACTCATCATTACACATCATCATATTATTATTATGAGTTCTGAACAGCATCTCATCCACAGAAGAATAATATAGGAGGTAAAGATGTTTTTGTTCACACACTAAGACTCAGTTCTTTCCTCACCTTTACCTTCAGTCCCTTTCTGTTTCTGCTCCACCTCCCTGCGGTATTCCTCCAGCTCCTGGTCAGTGAGTTTGGTGAAGGGGTTGGGACCCTGCTTGCTGATGATAACCTTGGGCTGGTACTCCTTTTCAATGATGGCCTTGGACGCGGTCACGAGCTCCCCCTTCAGGACACAAAGAAAAACAGGCGGAAGGAGAAGAGATGCCGAGGTAAGATACTGTAGATTACAGGTATTGCAGATTAGACATGGATGGATTTACAATATTGAAAACTATCTGCAGTGTCTAATTACTATCAGGAAATCTCATATAATTTAAAAACCTGAACCAGATTAGTAAGATTAGAGAGTTCACACACAGTTATTTTGCAGCAGGAGCAGCCATACATGAGTAAATGTACATCTTTAGTGCACTAATTAGATGTAAGAGGCCACGTAATATAACAGACAACTCATTAATATATATTAGGAAAGAGCGGGACTTATTCCTTTTTCATTCCATAGGCTAACACTGCTGTATAAAGGTGAAGCGCTGACAGATCTGAGAATCTAACAATCAGCAATAGTTGTGTTCCTTAAACCAAAAACATGAGTGCTAACAATTTTAGCTTCACTTACTCTTCTCCAAGGACTTTTAACAAAAACAATCTGTACAATACATGAATGCCACTTTCATTGCATCCAATACCTCCTCTAATTACTGCCCAATACATTTTGAAACCATGGTGAATCTCTCTCCTGCAGACAGACATGTTACAGCCAAATGCATTAGTATCTTCGCCCTCAAGGAGCATAGCATACCCAAAAAAACATGAACTTATCCAAAGTTCCCAGGCTCTACACCCCATAAACATCTAGAAAAGACAAGGTCACATGACCATACAAAAAAAACAACAAGACAAAATATTGCCTCATTCTAGCACTGTTATTCAGTTCATCTGTACCGATCCAAATATCAAGTGCCTATCTGCAGGCTAAGAGGAATGACTGGAGAATGATGTGAGGTACAAGTGAATAGAATTTGTGACTGGAATGGCAAGTACCTTTCTAATTGATTTAGCAGGACTATAGGACCTCTCGGACACATCGAGGCCATCAATAGTGTCTGTACAGTCAGACAGAGGGGCGTCCTGCAATAGTAAACCCAGTGAGGTGGGGGCATAACCCAGCTCTTCAACACTAGCACATTGAAATTAGCAGTCTCTCAGCCAGGCGTGAATGAGTGCAGACATTCACAAACAAGCTTTCTCACACACAAAAGGTGGAAAGAGAACAGAATCTCACACCATTAGTGCTACTATTACTTCAGTGTTTCTTGTGTCAAAAAAAAAAAAAAAAAAAAGCATGAGTAAAAAGTACAAAAACTGCTTTACCGAAGTTTACTTTGGGAGACATTTATGGTCGCTGTGAAAAGACCAATGTAGCAACCTGACTATAACCATTTCAGTAGGAATATACACACTTAATATCTAAAATGTAAAGACTTTAAGAAATCACCTTTTAGAAAAGAGGCTCAAAGTGATTAAGTCCCACTGGTCAAGTATTAACAGTACAATAGCTGTTCTGTAACTCTGTAGCTGCACTGTTTGTTAAGATCTGCAGAAAATCTTGGTAAAAGCAGTGTTGGTTATTCTAGTTAGTTACTTTCCACCTCTGCATACACACATACAATACAGAAACACACACACACTGGAGATGCATGCAAAGCAAGATAGGTCTGAAAAGTGATGTCAGACTGTGAAAAGCATAGCAGTGATGGTACAAATAGCCGGCGTGCACTGTCAAGACAAACTACCTACACAAGGGGGAGCTATACAGTTCATACAATCTGATTACAGCTCATGAAAGACTCTCATGGTCTTACTACTGGCATGCTGGTGAGGATTAGGTAGCCTTAAAAGTTGACTAAAGCATCTCAAGAATTAACCGATTGCTCTGTTTAATGTTCCCACGTCCTGTTCCTCATGGTGTCTGGGCTACAGTGTCCAAGAAGCTCCTGTGGCACATGTCCAAAAACTAAGAGCTCCCCAGCGAAAGAAGGGCCACCCATGCACACTGAACTCAAAAGGCAATTTTGAGCCTTTTACGTTTTGTAGTTGTACCTCTCAAAAAATGATAAACAGTACATGCACAGGAAAAAGACAATAGTATTAATTGATCATAATGAGGATTCTGTTGAACACTAACGCACCAAAATGACTGCAGATGCTGAAATAGGTGACAGGCTACTAAAAAGGCAAAACAACTAAAAACCACAAAGAATATGAAAAAATAAAGTCTGAATATGGAGGCAACCTGACCTGGCAGGTCTGGAGAGCAGCGTGACGTTACCTCTCCCACATACATTACTGTGTGTATTATTTATTTAGCTCATTAGAAAACTCCAAACAACACAAAGGTTTATGTATTTCATCAGACAGATGACGCGCATTCATTTCCAGGTCAGGATAGCTGAAGCAGCGAGGTTTGCTTGTGCACAGACTGACCTGGAGAAAGTTGCGTTCCACCACAGTGCCAACACACAGAACTTGAGACTGGGGCCCTGCTGTCTTTATGTCCTGCAGGTTCTGCTCCCGGATCTACAAAGGACGACACGTAAAAAAAAAAAAAAGAAAAATCAGCACAGTACATCCCGATCAAGATCCAGGTGCATCAAGAGCCTTAGATGGTAGAAAAACATTTATTAATATGGGCAGAGAACCAACTACAACCAGACTATGATACCTTATTCCTCATTTCCAGGACTTCTTTTGGATTGGTGTTCAGTGGGATGAACTGATTGGCTACGGCAGCCTGGCGGAGCCCGTCTTCCTTTGTCCACTATAAACATCACATAACGTGTTAACGACCAAAACCAGATTTTGAGAATGACATGAAAATCCAAGCACAAAAAACAGATTCAGACAAAATACTATGCAGGCTTCACAATACAAAAGTCATGCTGAACTAAAATGGACAAAGTTGGATGTAAAAAGGTTTGGATGTAAAACAATGAACCAATGATGAGACACTATTAGGAAAATATGTGCAAACCTCGTTTATAGTTCTTTAAGAGAACACTGCTTTACATTGCTACAACCAGTTTATTACCTGTGATCCTTATTAGATTGTATTTTAATTACTGATGAAGACTTAACATCAAAACATCGCTGGCGATTATAACCTGCCAAGGGACCGCAGATGAAAATTAGCTTTGAGCTAACTCTGGTACAAGACATCAAATGGCAACATTTATGTTTAATATTGCACACGGTCCCTTGCAAATAAAAGTTAAAATAAAATAACCAGTCTTCTGTTGCTCGATTACAACTGGTTCAAAATGCAGCCACCCGGAAACAGGGGCATAGCTCCCCTCTGTTGGCTTCTCTCCACTGGCTCCCTGTCTATTACAGGATCCAGGTTAAGATTTTATTGCTAACTTTTAAATCATTAAATGGACTTGTGTCTTCTTATCTGTTTGACTCCTTGCATCTATATCTTCCTGCAAGGCCTCGTAGATCTGCTGCTTTTACTTCAGACTGTACCATAACGTTAAAAAGTAGTTGCCACTTCTCATTAGGGCGGCATCTTCACTGTCTGTTTTTAAAGTCTTACAGACGGACAGTATTTTAATTCCTTGGCTTTTAGTTCAGTTTGAGAGTGTGGTGTTTTTAGAAAATTGGTGTGTTGAGGCATCTACTGTATTTTGTAGCGATCAACGCTGGCCATGCTCAATCAGAAATGGATGAAAATATCTCATGCGTGGTGACCATTTTAGGCACGAAGACTAAATCCTAGCAGTGTGTTTATACTACTGAAAACATGCCATCATCATTGACGTACCATTAGTCCAAAACAAACAGAAATAACACACTGAAGATCAACTGAAAACATCACAAAATGAGAAAAAGAGGGGGGGAGAAGTGAGGGGTGGGTGGTAGTGAGATGTGGAGGGGGGGGAGGGTGAGGGGGTGGGCGGGACGATGCGGCTACGAAGCGAGAGTGGCAGTGAGGGGTGAGCTGGCATCACCAAAGTCATTTCCCAGGCTGATACACAACAAGGACGACAGAGATGAGAAACACACCCGAGAACACTCCCCCACGTTGGGACAAAAAGCCATTGTCACAACGCTACAAACTAATACAGGAGTGCATCTTTCCTGCACAGAATGAAACCATTTACAACTTACATTTTCCTCTTCATGTGGAAAAATATCTCATCTACTTTACACCCAACATGTCTTTGTAAGCCTGGTAATGCCCAGCATGACTGAAAATTAAAAAAAAAAAACATTTCTGGCACCAAAGTGAATGAGCAGCCGGTGGATATACAAATCAAATCTTCAGCTTCCATGCAAAATATTTTATTGAACCTTTATAAATTAGGCACGTAATTTGCGGTGATAAGCGTAAGCTCATGACTTCATTGCTGTGTTTACTCTAAGCTTAACTGGTTAGCTGCCAAACCAGGGCCTAGATGAGGAAGGGACTGTGGATGGAGGTAGCTGGGTTGGGTTGAGTATGAGATGAACATGTAAACACGATATACTCACTGAGAAAGTGTCTCACAACACAACATTTCCTCCCTTCCCAACAGGAGATAATTGATTCAAAAGTCAGATCAAATTTCATGGCTTGTTTTTTCTTTTTTTTTTTTTTTCCCAAACACAATCCAAACTCATGCACTCATCCTTGAAGTGTTCAAGACCATTTTCACAATCAAACTGAAACCAGAACCTAGAGAATAAATCACAATAGCAGAAACAGAAACAAAACGGGAAGCAGTTGCAGGTGTTTGACTTAAAACTTAAAAAAAAAAAAAAAAATCAAAAATCAAAAAGCAGACCGCGTAATTCTTTTCCCATGGAAATATCTACTTTGTTGTAGAACCTTGATTACTTTTTCTTATTAAACATCTATGATGTATTTGGCATTATTCTGCAAATGAAATATTCTTTCTTAACTTATCTTAAATCTTATAAGATGTCTATAATAGTAAATACACTTTGTGAGCAGTCCAAAGCACCAACTCACCATGACATAAGCCTTAAACCTCACTAAACCTGCTTTTCTTTATCCTTTTCACCAACAAATTTTTACATCTTGAAGTTGGCTAACTTTGTGGCTGAGAGACAAATCTGTGTTTTGCGGGGCGAGCAACATCACCGTGTCTTGCCACATCCACTTGCCCACTTGAGGACTTATGCCACACCCCTGCTGCTCGATCCTCTGGGAAAAACATCAACACCAACAATGCATTTCACTACTACACATGCAGTGGGGCATGCTGTGGGCAGCTGGCCCGGCATCATGAAGCATAAGGAGACCAGAAGGGGAAAAAGAGCAAAGAGGGTCAAACAAAATAATCACAGCTATCTACAAAGTAATTAACAGAGCAGAGCCAGAAAGAGGCGGAATTATACTGAGCTCCAGTTTTAGTCTGTAAGCAGAAAGCTTGCAAACAGACAATCACAGAAACACCCGCTGCAGCTTTGTACTAGGCTCTTACTCCTCACTGTCCCCAGGACCTCAGGATGCCGACCACCTACCCAATTCCATCAATAAGGCAGCTGTAAATACTATACTATGAACAATAAGGTAGGCACAGACCAAGCAGTTGGTTATACAGCTTGGCACGCAGACACCGGACGAGAGAGACTGCAGCAAGGGTTTGACGTGATCATGTGTTATGTTCGTCCACACCTTTGGCTTCGACTTGGGGCTGCTTCCATCGGGCCCGTCCTCGTAGGGCTCATCAGGCCGACCGCCAGTACTGACCCAGCGGGTCTTGTCATACTGGCTGCGCTGGAAGCTGTGTTTCAGCGGGGAGCGAGCACCTGAGTCACTGTCCTCCCCGTGTGAGTAACCACCGTGGGCGGAGGGAGCCATCTCCACATCACTGTACTTTTTAGATTTGTCTCGCAATGCTGGGCAGCGATAAGGGTAGCCTGTCCTGTAGCCCTGGGAGACAAACAGAAACATCAGGGATTTAGTACACTCATGGCCTTACTTGAGCAGTAGCTTATGGACTATTGGAAGCTAATACTGACCAACATTAGATAGATATTGCTCTATAACTGACATTACTGAGACACTGTTGTGATTAATGAGTCTTCTCATCTTGTTCTAGTCTGCTTTTTGTTTTAGCCTTTACTATTATCACACAACTGTCACTTGTGGCCACTTTGACCAGTATTCTGCAATGGCTCTACCTACTAAATCCTCCGCTGGTTCAATATTCAAAGAATTAAAAAAAAAACATTAAAAAAGAAACTTTTTCCCCTCCAAAAACGATATTTCACACTCTAGGGAGAGTAACCCAGAGACCTCAGTGGTGACACACAGGGAGCTTTGATGCTGTTATTTGTTCAATACAGGTTCTCTTCAGTAACAACGCTGTTGTGGAAAGACACCGAATCTCTTTTATTTATGGATTAGCTGTAGGTGTCAAGTCATAAAGCTGGAAAGGTAAGAATATACCACCACTCTCATGGTAAACGTTTTCCCCTTTTCTTTGTACCTACCAAGTTGTCGAGCATTCTCATGAGAGCCTCAAATTCCTGCTCCCCGACTTTCCACTTGGGGTGTGTAGAGGACCCATCGTCGGCCGGCTGAGGGACCTGCGGGCGTGATTTGTATTTCCCCGGGTCCAGCATCACCAGATTATCTGGCCCTCCAGCGCTGGCCAGTGTTCGCACCTGGAAGACAGGAAAAGGAGGGGAGGGGGTACAGACACCAAGACAACAGACAGATCCAGAAAACAGAAAGAAAGAAAAGATGGACATGAGGACAAACATCCAACATTCAGCACACAGAGACATCCAAATGGAGAAAGGAAACACATGTAAAGATGTGGAGAGACAGACGGCAAAGACAATTGTTATGAACAGTGGAGACAAACATATGGTGCAAAATGTCACAACACCAAATGAAGACACATGGCGGCCAATGTCATATCTCTAAACGCCAACTGATGATCCATTATGTGATAAATATACAAATTAAGGTTTAGCTTTGGCCACCAACTGACATATCAGACAGAACGTCCTCTGTTGTACACAAAGATGTCATTTAACGGAAGCAACAGCAGCATTTTATCATTAAAAGGACACAGTAAGACTGGAAACGAGGTTTTCAGTCAAAGTTTAATGTTGCAGTAAATCAAGCCAGAGTGAAAACAACCCAAACTACTGCAATGACGTTTTTGTTTAAATAATAATTACAGAGCTCAGTGTGTGTTCTACCTGGATCTCACAGGCTGTGACCAAGTTGTGGATGTAATAGAACGCTTCCTCCACCGTTTCACCTACGGACACTAACCCGTGGTTCCTCAGGATGAGCACCTGGGACAGAAAAAAAATTCAAACTTTGCAAAAAACAAAACAAAAAACAAACAAACACACACACAAAACGCTGCTCTTGGCATAAGAAAATTAAACTGGCAGGTTGTATAATGACGCTATTAAATTGCTAATCAACATTTCCTCAGCTATGAAAAAATGATCCCTCACTCGTTTCTGTTGTACTCAAACAGGCACTGTGCTGTTACCTTGCTGTTAGGCCCTAGGTTTTTCTGTATAAGATTACTTTCTTCCTCGTCCACCAGTATGCCCTGGTAGTCATGGTAGGTCACCTCGCCCAGGGAGAGAGCCTCAGGCGAGATGGGCAGCAGGCCACATTTCATGGCCGACACCTGCAGGAAACAAACAATTCCACACAGAGTATTGCATTTCATAATGTGCCTATTTCTGTCTGTATTGTACATAACGTCGGTGTAAACATGGCCCCTTACTGCAGCACCCGCGGATGTGTGTATATGTACTATACACTTGACATCAGGCCGTGCGGCGTAGATGGCAGAGTGCAGCACAAAACCGGCCTGGTTCACCCCAAGGTTGGTGCTTCCCCGGTCCACTATCTCACCTTGAAGGTTTATTTTCACCTGGAGGGGAGGGACAGACGATAAAGGGACAGTCAGTTGGGGTTCATTTTGACGACTTTAGCTCATGTTGTTATGTTAATGCATTTTATCACGAGTGAAGTGAACTAATGGACATCAAGAGATTAAAAAGAAGAGGATAGTTGCATCATTCAACAGCAGAAAAGAAGACATTCACCAGACTGGAGGCAGTGACTTCACTGTAAAGGAGCCCAAAAGGGACAATAAGGAAGCGCTCCTGGTCTGAGTTCACCCTGACCTAAAACACCAGAAGACATTCACATTAGATTACACCGTTACATGGAAACTGAATGAATCAAATCAGTTCACAAACACAAAAGAACTTATTGGAGCAAATAAAGGGGTTAGACTAAAGGCCTACTGGTGAAATATATCTTTATTCAGTTACTGGATTACAAAAAATCAGTTCTGCTGTATTATAGCCTTACTGTGAGGTGGTTGTAGATGAGCTCGGACCAGCCAAACAAGTCGGCAAGCCGATAAAAGGCAGCCAGTTTGCAGCGAAGCAGCTTCTCGCCCTTGTCGTAGGAGATGGAGTCTGAGCCACGCAGATCATTCACCGGAGTCACCATACCCAAACCTGAGAGGAAGAGACGAAAAGACAAAAAAAGACAGCGCTCACCTACACAACAGAAGTTGAAAAATAACGACGACGCTAAGGGGAAAATGACACCAAGTGGGCAAAATGGATTAAATACAGCGCCCAGCACAGTAAAAACTATTTCTGGTTCCTTGCCAGCAGGAAAGGAACAAGTCTGACTTAGAGAAAATAACAAATAGATGAAGTCTGTCTACCAGGCTCTGTCCAGAAACTGTGTTACTCACTGTGAGCACACACACACACAGGTCAAAGAGTCACACACAGTTATTCTGTTCTGTGCTTACTCATATTGAGCGCCGCCATGCCTCCTTGTGGTGCAGCGGGATACATGGAAGGCATGCTGGTGGTCATAAAGTCTGCGATCTGCTGCAGAGCCAAGAGGCTCGTAGGCGTCTTCCCCTTCTTCAGCTGATCCTGGATCATTGTCTCCAGCTCCTCACAGAATGCCTGCCAGTCAAGAACAGAAACACAAAACAGACAGGGACACAAACAGATAAGAGACACTAATAAAAAGCTTGCTTGTGGTAAATATCCTGACCACAGCCCCTGTCACACTGCCTGGTCAAAGCAGGATTACTACAGCAATTTTCTGCCATAATGGTTTGTAGTAAAATTTGTTGCACCTCACATTTATCTACTGTGATTTTGTCAGTTAATCTAGTGAATTTGCAGCAAATCTAAGTTTGTGTTTTGTGCAATAAAACCTTTCTATGCTACACAAATGTCTGTTCGACTGACCGGGCTCTGTAGAATCATAGAGACCCTCTTCCTCTGCTCCATCATGTTGAAGTCCTGCCGCAGGTCAGGCGCCATGTTCCTTTCCCTCTGGTACTCCGGACTGCTCTCATCCACCCGGTCAAAGTACCGCTCCTTGTGGGGGGCTGTGGTGGGAGGGGGGGCCGTCACCACTCCGGCATTTGAGTCGCCGTTCATCCTCGGCTGGCCTCCTGTAGAGGGAGAAGCTGATGATTATAGCACAAACACTTCTGACATGTACACAGGTCAACATATGGCCCTGAGTTTATCAAAATCACACAGCTGTGTTCAGGCATCTGTGTGAGGACCACAGGGTCAAAGCTCTGTCGCCTCTAGTGGAACATTTGTGTTGGAGCCAAGTAAAACACAGAACACATTGGCAGATGAGGAAATAACCTCTGCCAGTCATTAAATAAGAAAGCTCATCGCACAGACCACACTCTCCCCTGCTTCCTGTCATGGACACGTGACTGCTCATCCCAGGTTTTTATTGATTTTCAATACGTGCTTCCTGGAATCACAACACCACTCCACTGTCAAGCCTGGCCAAAGGAAAGGAAAACAAAAAGCCAAAGTACAGACATATATTTGCTGTTTCTAGCTTCTCTAAACGCAGAATTTGTCTTTTGGTTCCGAACTGGTTGTTGGAAGAATAAAGACATTTGAAGACTGCTATGGTGCAAAATTATAACACTGCTATTAGAAGCTAAACCAAATGTCTTTGGGTTCCGAACTGGTTGTCAGAAGAATAAAGACATTTAAAGACTGCTATGGTGCAAAATTATAACAAGCATTGTTTACTGTCTTTTACAGACTAAACTGTTGAGTAAAAAGTCCAGAAATAATCAAAATAATGACAATAATAGATAGCTGCAGCTGTGGCTCATATATTAGTATCAATATATGCTCTAGCAGAAAAAACGGACGCAGCCCATTAATCCGCATCAAAACAGATGCTCAGCCAAATGTACCATGACAACTGCAGACCCAACCCAAAGCATCCAGCATCACACTGAGTGCACGCAGACCCTCTCTCTGTTTCTGCCTGCTTTTACTGGCATCTGAGATTTTAAACTAAATCTAACTCAGCATTTTCACAAATCTGAGGTCACCTGCTCCAATCAAGGCTTTTGTGTTCATGCTGTTTGACCAACAGTGTTTTTGTTAATTATCACCTGATAAACACTAAATGAAGGGAAATAGAATGATCACCACCACATAAAAAGAAGCCAAATGAGAGTGAGGATTTCCAGGCTGACTTGGTAAACCGTTTATCAGAAGGATAGGCTGTAATGGCTTCGCCTTAGGTCTTTATAGAAAGACTACATTACAACAAATAAAACACACACACCACAGGCCACATATCAGATCTAGAAACTCACCTTTCTCTTCAGAAAAACTTCAGGAAGTATGAGGGAAAACATCAAATTCTGACTAAATATGGAATTTCTGCATTTTGAGCACCAAACTATTTAACATTGCTGTCTTCGGTGTCTCCTCCCTGCTGTTTTCCTTTAAACATAATTACTGTCTCAGCTTGTGATTAAGAAATAAAGACAATGAGAAACACAAGCTGCATACTCTCTGCAATCATTCAGGAAGAACAGCGCCACTGTTGTCTCACTCCTGTGATTAAGATATCAGTTGTTGACAGAAGACTAAGGACATCGGCTATAGGCTCCAGTGCCAAATACACTCATTGGAGGAAGAGGGCGTCCCAGTCCCTGGTCTGTCATTACAGTTGAATCAATCTATGGATTCTGGTGCTAGAACGTGAGTAACAGTGAGATGCACATCTCAACCGGCCACATAATCACACTGAGCGGATGTTTCACTGACTTTCTGATAGTAACAGAAGGTCAAATAAATCAAGTCAAGCGCCATGGCAAGTTTCTGTAGCTCTCAACAACTGACCTGCATCGGCCTGGTTCACAGTCAGAAGGTCTTAATGCTTCTAATCTAGACTGACAGTCAGATCTCGTTCTGTTCAGTTGAACTTGTTTATGCTGCGTCAGCTGCTGCTGCTCATGTCGGTGTTTACTGATAGGGGCAACGATATAAAACAAACATGTCTGTTGACAACAGAGCGACTGAAAACAAGTGACCTAACCCCGAAGGATTAAACACTCCTGCTGTTCTTACAGCTGACCTTTTTAAGTTTGGAGAAGAAAATATACTTGTTCGGAAATCCATCTGAGAGGTGACAATGACTTCAGCATTTTCACTAATGTCTTCAGCATCAGTAAATATCAAGGGGCCACACATCCCTTCTTTGTCGAAATTACACAGAAAAGAATTACAATTCTTTTCATATGCAAAATGTTTGATTAGACTGGTGGTGCACCTAGCCTTCGTTGATTAATCTGCCAAATAACCTTCTTAAATAATCCAATAGTTGTTTTGCCTATAAAACTTTCCAAAGTACTAAAAAGTGCCTTAATGGTTTCTCAGAGCACAAGGTAACATCTACAATGTCTTGTCCTAAACCCAAAGACATTCAGTTCAAAATGACATAAGCTGTAAACAGCAAATGTTTGCTTTTACTTTGAAAACACTGGTCAAAAGTGAGTCATTTCATGGTGACAGAATATTCTAATCAACTCCAACGCTGTTGAAACGCTTCTGTGTTTTACTGGTAAGATATATGGAGATGCCCATTATAGTTGCTACTGATGCTAAAAGCAGTACAAAAACGACTGGGGCTGCTGAAGTTTCACCAGGAGCTCAGGAAATTATTTCTGCATTTCTGCCCTAAAATTAGAGTTTAGGCTTGACGTATCCTTTCGATTGTCTTTTGAAGCTGCCATTAGTCTGGACGGAGCCCAACGCTGCAGTGCACACGACCACAAAATCTGCTAACACCTGCAAATACTGGGTGAATGACCCAGAAGTATTTGTTATAGTATCTCTAAAACTGCATGAAGGAGAAAGTCCAACATGTTTTTCTATTTCATACAAGCTAAACCATGCTAAAACAAAGAGGCTGTGTATTTCTTGTGGACAATAGCAAAGCCTGCAGATGCAGGGAGATTTCTCCATCTACACAGAATGTTGTCATCTGACAACCAGAGGCGCCCCTGACTCACCAGAGCCCGTGTTTCTCTTCTCTTTGCAGAAATGTAGGTGCAGGGGCTCAGCTAGCCTCCGCTCCTGGTAAGTGTGCAATCTCTATGGAAACCAAACGCATTACCATGGCAACACGGGACAGCCTTTAAAGATTACTGTTATGTAAGCTGCAGGCCAATGCCATGCTGCAAACCAGGCAGTGTTACAAGGTGCACACCTTCAAACTAATGTGTTACTCATTTCATATTAAAGCATACCAGTGTCTTCTGCAATGACTGTAGGTCAGAGGTACTTCTGCAGGTCCAAAAATGCAGTATGAACTGAAATCAACTACTATATTTTCATACTTGTCACTGAATTAATTAATACAATAATGAGTGTTCCCGGTGTTAAACACAATTACACAACCTGTTTATAATCACAACATGTGGAATGAGACTGGTGTGCAGAGAAAGCCAAGATGCACTACAGCTGTATGAATAGATTTGTTCCGGTACCAAGATGCACATCAAAAACTCCACTCCAGAAATGCCACAGTGCATCAGAAGCACCTGTCATTTTGCATCAGTGAAGGGCAGAGTGGCCACCATACTCCACTGGGACATGTAAGGACAACCAGGACATGCTCAGCTCTTCCACTCGAACCCTCTTTAAGAGGAACAGAATAAAATAAAAGATGCAGTAATGGTACTAATGAAACAACTTGTGCTGGACGGTCTCCCTAGAGGCAGATTCACTTTGGCTTCCATAACCACACCCATTAAAGAATATGTATTGGAAAGTACCCCGTCCTCTGTGGAACCACGGGTGTGTCTGAAGCTGCAACTCATGCAGCACCTTGCAAATCTTGTGGATTTTATGGCAGCCCTGTCACATCCTAGCACTGTTATGTCTGTCTTGACCATACTCATCAACTGGCCAAAAATTCTCAGACAGATGCATTTTTGGTCCTTAGAAAATCATTTCCATCTGTACCAAACTTCAGTAAAGACTCAAAGGTGTCCCAACTAGCTGCCAGGTGGTGGTCGGACAGACATGTACTCAGATTCTGTTGGATGAGTGATGTTTCACTAACACTTAATGAAACCAAGGAGTGAGAAGATTACTGAATAGTCTGAAAACTGAATAGTCTTTGTGACATGATTTGCACGGGAAGTAATTGCTCCCTCAACAACAAGCTGCTGTATCCGCAGAAAATAAGGTCATTTTATCAACGGCATTAGTCCTTAATCATGTTCACCTGCACACCAATGTGGCTTTAATCCCATAAGGTATAGAATCTGTAATATTGTGGGGAAATATTCAGATTCATTCTAGAAAACATGAGTGGTTGATAAATAACTATATAGTTAATTATCTGGAAATAAATTAAGTTTATAGATAAAATAACAAGCCTACAGACTCAGTAGCAGCTCTGAGGTCACATTTAGCTGCAGAGTTAAATGCAATGGCCATTCTGCTAACCTGCAAAACAACAGTGCTAACATTTGATGTTTAGCAGGAATAATTATAAACATGTTCATCTTCATAAACAACAGGATAAACAAGGAGTAGAATTTCCTCTAGACTGACCCAAGCTGATGTTTTCAGCTTGCTATGACACCACATACAGATGTTTCCATACTCCACAGATGCAGTTATGAGGCATTAATAGGTGGGTGGGGGTGTTCTATGCACTGGCTCTTTGTAAAGTTTAAACAGCTCTGCATACATTGTCCACTTCATCATTTTCTTCTGAGAGACGGAAACTTGCACTAAAAACATCTAAAAAAGGGCTATTTAGCTCATTCCAAATACATGCCAATCAAGCAAATGCCAGTGAAAAGATCATAAATGGCCTCCAAGTCTTTCTGTAAGTTTCAGTGTGTGTGTGTGTGTGTGTGTGTGTGCAGTTGGTGTTTCAAGCAGTTTTCCGGCTTTCAAGAGAAGCACTTATACAAAGCTCTTTCTATCTCTGAGCTGGATGCTTGTCATTACTGGGGATGAAGAATTCACTGCCTGTGCATGTGTGTGAGAGACTGACCCTAAATACCGTCCTGGTAGGAATGCATTAGGTGTCATTTTAACACCGACCTACATGTGGTCTGGTACTTCAGATTGTAACTGACGTACACAGAGAAGCTGTTATTTGTCTCAATAAGTGAGGAGGCAGCAACAATACACTGCTTAAGAAAAGAAGGCAAGGAAATGAGGTCTCACAGCAACATTACGCATGATTCTCTGTTTCAACCTTTTTCACATGATCAATATGATGTGATGCAAAAAAAAGGCGTTTAATATCTTTAATTCCCATGATTCTCTGCTTCAACCTTTTTCACATGAGCAATATGATGTGATGCAAAAAAAGGCGTTTAATATCTTTAATTCCTTTTTTATGCTCCACATTTAGAGAAGCAAAGATATACTGTATATGAGCCCATATCATATTTTGGCACATACTGAATCCAGCAAGCTGCATTTAATTAGCAGTAAAACATTATTTTCCCAACAAAAAATCATAGCAAGCATGGTAGGACTGCATGGATGATTATTCTCATTAGATCTGATGAGCATTTTCTCAGTATCTCAAGTAAAAGATCCATAAAATATTGAAAAATAAGCATTGTAGTTTCATAAAGCCCGATGTGGCAGCTTCAAGTTACTTATCTCATCCAACTTAACAATCACAACACACAAACCGATTGCCATTTTCCATGATCTGTGTCAGTTGGCTAATCAATTAATCTGCTCTAAATCCTGGAGTCTATTTGTCCACTCACAGCAAGGTACAGGAAGTAGAAGACGAAATGGGATGAGATGGCAGACCCACTTTATCCAGGTTGTGTCCCACTCTAAAATTAAATTATTGCCCCTAAGGTCAATTACAGCCACAAGATAAATCACAGGTTGATGCTAACATGCTTTTTAAAAATGTGCAGGAAGTAAGCTTTATCATCAGTGAGGCTACCGGCAAGGGACAGGCATTATCTGTCGCTGACTGCCGAGGCCAGGCGAGACGCTGTGTTGTGCTAGCATGAGTACAGTGGATCGGGGTTTATCTGGCTGTCACACATCATATCGGACAGAGTGGTGGGAGATGTCTCTCCGAAACAACACACCCCTCCCTGTACCATGTAGTCTCACACTACTGTCCTATCATGTGTGCATCTGTAGCATCCTGTGGGCTAAATGTTTGACACAAACATAGCTACATATCGACATGATCTTTAATATAAATGAACGCTCAAGACTGATGGATTCTACATCCTTAACTTTAACTGAAACACTGCAAATTGATCACATATGAGGAAGGAAGGAAGGAAGAAGCGAAATAGAGAGAAAGAACGTGAAATGAGGAACACATTTTCAGCTGCACTGCAGTCCAGGGTGTGGGCGTTAGAAGTGGGAGTAAAACAAACACAGAGCTCTGTAACTAGACTGAGTGTTTATGTATGTGTGTAGTAGTGAGGTGTGTGTTGAGGGTGTCAGCATGGAGCCAGACTGACAAAGCTCCCTCCTCTGGGAGTTTCACTCATTTTAACAGAATTACCAAATAAAGGGAGTTACTATCCCTTAACACACATTGAGACCATTTATTTTGGTAGTTTGGCCTGATAATCCTCAAGCTGTACGAGAGGGAAGGGACTTCAGAAAGAAGCCAGACACAGAAACAGGTTACTAGTGGTTATATTCTACAATCCGGGCCTAAAAACAAACAGCTAACTGTTTACACTATCAAAAGCCTTACAAACATAAACTCTCCTGATTATCGTCACTTCTTATGTTTGCATTAGTCCTATAGTATCATGCTACATTATATAAAGTCTATGATTTTTACTAGCTCTTTTATTAGTACCATAATCTAGCTGCAACTATATTATTAATTTTTTTTATTAATCAAAAAACTATAGCCTAACAAACGTTTGCAGAGCCTGAGCTGATGTCACCAAATTGCTTGTTTTATCAGACATGTCTATCAGAAATTCTCACATTTTAAAAGCTTGAAGCAGCAAGTATTCAGATTTTGTCTTTTATGAATAACTTAAAACCAATAACTGATTATTAAAATGATTAACCAAACTTGTTCAGCTTCTTAAGCTATCACAAATATACTTTATGACATCTGTTATCACTTCCAAAGTACAGTGTATTACCATGTACTATCCGTGAATACTGTATATATGACTATTGTCTAAGATTTAACTCCCTTTTGTTGTTGTTTGTTATACTGTATATAATTTTTTTTTTATTAATAAAAGCACAATTCCCTACTGGGATTATTGAAGTAGCTTGTTCTATGTGATCTAATGTGGCACAAATATTGTTATGCAGGATATGTCGCTGTCTGGCCTCGGACAGGAAACAGCTCCATCAATCGGACCACATTCTCCTGCTCCAACACAGGCCCAGACCTTCCCCCTGCAACAGTCCACGTTGAACGGCTGAGGTCAGAGTAGCTGTGCGCCAGGCAAAAGCAAAATAATGCAACCACACAGGCCTGGCCAGGCAGCAGGCCGGCGATACTTAGGACAAAACACAAACTGTATGTGGCCCTGGGCTGCTATTGTCCTAAACAGGAAACCGCTGTTGAACTGCACAAAACACACTCGTTTCATGGCAGGAAAACGTGCACAGTCGCTTCTCTGCAAACTCCCCCGATCAACGTACAGGATTAGCAAAACAGAGAGAGCTCGCCACAACAAGGAGAAACCCCTGTGGTACAAATATTTAAAAAACACACACACACACACACACACACACATGGGCTTGCTGAGTCAGAAAAACACTATTGAAATGCAAACCGTGTCCGTTATTTCAGAGCTTACCCTCTATGCAATGAAGTGATGAAATATAAACAGTGCTCCGTAAAAGCCGGACGGCAGTATTCAATATTTTTTGCCCCTACACTGGTGGTTTCAGAGCGAGTTTATCTCTCTGCGTTTGCCTTTCCTGCGTCGTCGCTCCGCCCATCCACCATCATCCCCACTTGGGTGCGGCAAGGGGTTAATTTGCGGCTACTGATTGGCCACCAAGAGACACGTGATAGCATTGAGGAGCGTGATTGGAGCAGGAGCTGTGAACCCGCCCTGTTTCTTTGGGTTTACAACATGCTAAAGCCCAGGAGTAGGGAAGAGCCTAGTCACAGCAGCAGCTGTCTGTAGTGTTTATTGCAGATGTTTGCGGTAATGAACCAATATGTGGATGTGAACAACTAAATTTGGGAAAGTAAATTGAAAAATAATTTTATTATTTTAAACATGTATGGAGTGTGTGCATCCTTTGAAAAGTGATGCAAAGTCATGGAAAGCACATATTGAAAAGTACAGTGGACAACTGTGGAGTATTTTTGTTCAGATGCACCATACATATTGTATGGTATACGTTTCAGTTTAGTTTACCTAAATCATCTGAGCAGTCAAACCCATTTTCATGTGTGTAGGATACACTTTAACCTGTTTTTGTTCCTGTGCAAACATTTCAGTTTGATTTTTGCATCTTAGGTAACACAATACTTGCTTCCCTTTGTTGCAGTTTGCAGGCAAAGTCTAATTACAGTTAATTACAGCTGTGTTACCATAGATCAATTCTAGTGCTGCATAAATCCTTTACTTTAGATGTACTTTATGGTGCAAGTCAGGTAAGCTATTGTGAAAGCATCTTGATGGCGCTCACAGTCAGTTACACCACACTGAGTAAGAAGACCCACAAACATTGAACAGTATATTGTGCATCTGTAAAGCTGACCTTGAAACTACACACCAGGGGGTGCATTTAGTGCATTAGATGGAGATGTCCCAGTGTCACCTCTGGCACAATTTCACAGGTAGCTATATACTGTACCTCCATACATTGTGATGCAGCTACTTAGAGATAAACCTCTGGATACAGTTGCATTTATTACATAACTACAGAGAAATGGCACAACTATAGGATTTCTATCAAACATAAGGATGCCATGTGTGATATTTTCCACCAGATGGTGGTGCTTTCACACACTGCTTGCACAACAACAATGCTATTTTCTAAAGCCAGTGAAAGATATGAAATAACCAACCTAAACAGAGTTTATACATTCAGTTACCTATTTATTATGTACACCTATAGCTCAGCCTAATGCAGTCTAATACAACAGTACTGTAATAAATCATCTTTTCATGACGTTTATGTTTGAAAACTATTTCAAATAAAAATTTAAGTTGTCTTAATTTGGATATTTTGGAGGCTGTAGTTGGTGGTGGTGGTGTATTGCGTACAACTGACAGGTGCTACAGAAGTGTCTATGTAAATGAGAGAACGTAAATTGTGCCAACTCTTATCATATTATAAGTCAAATATGGAATCCTGAGTTCACTGCATGTACTGTACCACTGACTCCTGTGTAGTTAATCCTGTCCTGTATGACTTGACACACATGCACTCTTTTCCTGAACACTTGATCTCAGACAAGTTCTGGCCCTTCTAGTGTTGTGAATAATTGTGGCCTGCCTTGTGGCATGGATACACCAGCTAGGGACTCTAAATATATCCAGCTGGTGTGTGAAGAGCTCTGGCATGAAGATCATGTACTTATGCTGGAGGTTTACACCTTAGTCTATTACTTTCTCATGCATTGTGTGTGTTCCAGACTCTCTCAATTTACAGTTGCACACTGTATATATTCATACTAAAATATGGTTCACTTTAAACTGTCTTTGTGGACTTATATCTGAATGTCCATGTGTATAAACCTCTACAATTTAAGCATTAATGTATCATTCAGAGTGACAGTAAATTAACCACCAATAACTAGAATTTGTGCATCCATGAAAGAGAAATGAAATAAGAAAATGGGGACAGGCAAGACAAGACAACAAAGACTATCAAGGTCAATGAATATTTAAATATAAAAATCAGATGAGTAAATAATAAGTCTTCAAAAATGTAGATCTGCCTAGGAGGCAGCAAATCATTTGGGCTTCAGTATTACGTTTGGGTTAGAACGCACATTCCTCTGTCAGCTGTTTTCTCTTAGCAGCACATGTCACAGAGTGAGTGAAGATAAACCCAGCTGCTTTTCGTATTCATTTCAGGCAGCACTTACCATCCCCTTTTAACTGCAGCCAGCCATCTATAAGCTCTCAAATCACAAGGGGCAGATATGAATATAAACAATTTGTAGAATAGCTGATGATGCCTGGGAGTATTGGCATATTTAGGGATACAGCCTAAGGACATTTTCAGAACAACACAGCTCTCCATCCATTTTTTGGGGGGTATTGCTTCACCGCAGTCAGAACCAGAACTGCAGGGGGCTCCAGCAAAATAACGCAACACGATGCGGTGAAAAAGTTGGACCTGATTCATTTTTTGCTACACCAGACAGTGACATCATTTGGCAAAGGGGCTGCATTGACCAATCACGTACGGGAGACAATCTGAAGAAAACTTTTGTTTACTTTGTTAGCATGAGCATTCATTGCTATTCACTGTGAAATGTGGGCCACAGTTAACACACCATAATGACACACCATGTGTTTTCATTAGCTAGGGTACTCTATGATAAACTGTGTTTTTTATCTATCAATGCAGACACACTAGTGGTAGAAACTGGTTCTAAGGTAGAGTAGGCTACATTAGCAGCATGGCTAACCAAAATACAATGGAAGCTCATGGGCTGAAAACGTGAATGAACCCATCTCATTGTCATACATGCCTATAACACTCCCCCAAAACCTCTCACCCCTCTGATCAAAACAGCCCCTTGCGTTAAAACACAGCAGAGGGTTGCACTTTTGCAGGATCAATGTGAATGTATGGTAGATGTTCCTTGTTAATGTAACAGCACTTTATAAAATGACTGTGTCTCAATTAGCCAGGTAAATTTCTCAACATTTGCTATTCAGTGAACCCACAAAGCAGCCACAGAGGTAAACTGTGATGCTGTTCTATATTCCACCAGCATCAATCTGTCCTTTACTGAAAGATGGTATTGTACTTTGCCTGCAATGGCAAATAAAACCCCACTCCCTCCTCCTCTGGCCTGCACAATGAACCAGCCTGTCTTTCCTCCAGTGTGTTTTTGATTCACTTCTGCTTTAGGAAAATGTTGTATAACCTTTGACCTTTAGCAGCAACCTTTTAAACCCATTGGCCCCACCTAGAGAGCCCCCTCAGCCAAGGTTTGAAGGTAACTGACTCCGCACCAGGGTTGTAGTTAGCTACCACAGCAGATAGTGAGGATGTCATCTGGTCATATTTTTAAGAATTTAAGATGGTGAATGACATAAACAGGAGTTTGCATCTTATGATTGTGCACACATTACATGTTTTGGGTTGTTACATGCAGATGTTTGCCTGGTTTTTATATTTGGAGACAAAAAAACTATTTAACAGTTAGATTAAAAAAGCAAAATTTTGTAATTTTTTAGTGCTTGTCTGGTGCTATTCAGCAGGTTTAAGGGAGAATTTATATTTAGTTTTAAGGTAAATACAGAGCAGCAATTTTCAGTGTTATATTACTATTGGTAATACATTATTCTTACTACAGATTCATATATACACATTGTTTTGGAGGTCATTTGAATTATTGTATGGTGTTTGGCAGTGTTCTAATAATAATGCATTATACTTTATAATCTGATTATACATTTTGGAAGAAGATTTTAATCTGCAGTCACTCTTGCATCAGTCCTTGATTGAGCATATGGTAGAACAAGTACTCAGATATTTTACTTAAGCAAAAGTAACAATTCCAAGATATAGACATACTCTGTTAAGTAAGAAAATGCTGTACAGAACACTGATACCTTTTTGTGTAAGCTGCTAAAGGCTACTGGGGATTTTTGTCAATCTAAAACAATTTTTTGCCATAAAAACGGTCAAATAAATGTGGTGGAGTGAAAGCGCCAACAAAGTGTAGTGGAGTAGGCCTATAAAGTAGAATAAAAAAAAAATAAACAAACTGTGATAAGATAAATAAACTCTAGTAAACTACCTAACTACAATACCTAAGCAGATATGCTGGTTACTTCCCCTGGGTGCAGAACAGGAAAAAGAAACGTGCAGGTTGGAGGTGGCTGTGAACTTTGTGGTCTCTCCCCCAACCCTGAACCCTCCTCCTATCTGTTGATATCACAGCCCGGAGAGGTTTGAAACCAGTCTCGAGTCCCAGACGCCGCCATGCTGGGCTGAGAGACACGGACACACACCAAACTTTGTCACACTGCTGCTCCAGCACATATCTGCATATCCACCGGGACAAAGACGAGAGTTCCCCACAGTGAGTTCAGGTCGCTTTCACTTCAATGCAACTTTAAATAGCATTACTATGTAGTTTCTGTTTGTCATTGCTCAGTTGTTTCAGCCTGTGTTCCTGTGCTGTTCGTACTCGTGCGTGCTGTCGCGGAGCTCAGTTGCACTTGTTGCACAGCAGCCGGAACCCCAACGGAGATACCGAGAAGAAAAACGCATTGTTATAGTTTCCTCTCATTGCGTTGTTCTGAGCTTTGACGGCGCTCAAACCTTAAATCACTTTATCCCGGTGTTCCTAAGTCGAACTGAGGTAAAATAAGATGTTAGCGGACGATTGTTGCGCTGGAAGAGTCCTTGCAGACAGTTTGTCACTGTCCTTGGAGCGCAAAATAACCGCTGAGTATAATATTCATAGCCACCAGCTGTGCGCATCCAAACCTTTTAAAACATTTTACTCCCCTTGTGCTTTCCAGAATGCCATTCTGGCACTCAGAGTTCACTCAGAGGTTGTCTACATGCATAAATCAAGGGTGTTCTTTCATTGCAACAACAAAAGATCCTTATTGACAGGACTGGGGCGCATATCCGTGGAACCACAGTTGATATGAGGACTGTCTGGTACATTCAGCCTCCATCAGGTGAACTAAACACCTGCATCATGCGCTGTTAATGTCTCTCAGTGTGTGCCTTGGCGTTCTCCAGTCCAGCAGGTGTACTGTGCCAAGACAGGAGGGCAGTGAGTGCAGCTGGGGCA